CCACCAGTTCTGTTAAGAGCAATCTGAAAGAAAAAAGAAAATTACAAGTGAAAAATAGGGATATTACCTTGTTACATTTGCAGAAATCTTCATACTTGACCAAGTTGTTTCACGTAGCTCAGTGACTGATCTTTCAAAAATCAGTTAAAAAAATCAGTAACTTAGCGAAATTGAAGCTGTTTTTAATTAAAATTAATGTATGTCAAATACTGTAAATGGTTCCTCTACGATAAAACGCTTAACAACAAAACGGAAACAAAAACAAAAAAAAATATATAGGCATATTATTGATGAGGACTACTCCTCTTCCTCAAACTCTATGGGGATAAAACTACAAATAGCTTTCATTACTGTTTTTTGATCTAAGTTGAAAGTGCGAGGAATTACCACCGAAGTCTGATTCCAGGCGTCCTCTGGCTTTAATTGAACTCAAAAAAACAAACTAAACTCTTACAGCAATGGAATGTATGGTTTTGTTTTGTACACAGTATATCGATTCCACGATAAGTCCAAACTGAGCGCTTTTGTTGTTGGCGACCATCAACGACGGAGCAGTCATGGCTATGGCTTGGGATTCATGAAAGTCAGGTACTACAAAAACCTTCTCCCATGTTATCTTCCTACTATTTCGATTAACCTGGAAAGAGTTGCCGAAATTCAAAAAATAAATTGAATTATTACATGTACGCCCAAGGCAGTGAACTTTTGATTTTCGCAAAAATCTATAGCCGTTCTGGCTTCTAACCTTCCTCTGCTTTTTAAGAGAAGCATTGGCCGTTTGCTAGAAAATGTTGGTTTTTCAGTAATTTAATGATATACCCGAAACTAACCAATTCATGCTTGAGCTCGACGTTTCTTATTCAACTTCGAATGCACAGATTTGTCCTGAGCACAATTAATACTTTCTACAATTAGGCCAAATTGACACCTTTTGTTGTTCGCTACCAACAATGACAGAGCCTTATTGGCGATTTCCTGAGATTCATAGAAATCTGGAAGGTTAAATACCTTTTCCCAGGTTCCTTTACGACTGTTACGATTAACCTGGAATAGAAAATTTAGAAAAAAAATCACCACAGCCAAAACTCAAAAAAATAAATTAAACTATTACATTTACCCCCAAGGCTGCCATTTTGTTGTTTTCGCAGAAATCTATTGCAGTCCTGGCATCGAGGCGTCCTCTCGCTTTAATCAACGAAGCGTTTGCTGTTCTCTATAACATGTTGGTTGATTAATAAATTAAAGACATACATGTAACTTACTAACTCATGCAATAGTTCCACGTTTTTTATTAGTAATTCTGATTTTAAACTACTCAATTCTGCGATCAAACCATCTTTCTTCTCCAGATTCTCAAGTAACCGTTCAAAATAGGTTTAACGTAGATGAATAACAATATAACTTTCATTTAACACGCCTTCCATATTTCAACTTAGAAGAGGGAGCAAGGATTATTACTTTTTAAACAAAAGAAAATCGGAGATGGTTTGTATTTCGTTTAACTACAGAAACAATGTTCAGACCATTGTGAATGAACCAACATGCGACGCAGCCGCGTCACGTGTGAGTGCTTGTTTTCCTTCATTTATCAGTAACTATTACTGATTCCAAATGCCGTAAATAGACGTTCATACCCAATTGCATCCAGAGTATAGGCAAACAGATATTCTTGCCTTCAAGCTAGAATGCTAAACGTGTAAAGAATTCAGTTCAAATATAGCATCCATCCAAGAGAAGTGATTTAACTAGTTAAGTTCATTAGCTCACAACTTCAGTTAATACTTCAAGACGAGCAATAATCCTATTCTTACTGAACATTTCTTTGAAAAATAAGTGCTATAATATTCACGAGAAGGTTAAAAGCTTATTCAATTCAATGTGTTGCTCTCGGCCGCCTTGACGTAGGACATCTCCCGGTGCCACGATGCTTTTTTAGAGCCTGACTCCTACAATTACCTCCTGTATCTTTTCATTGTTTCCATTTCGCCACAAATGTTCACGGCTGAAGTGTTCAGACTTTCTAACATTTTTATCACATTTCTAACATAGAGAGCTGGGAACATTACACATTTATCTCTTCAACACTTGAAGTGTTTCGATTACTTAGAACATATTAAATAGTGTTTCCTTGATCACGCTGTTAAGGAGTATTACGAGAGCAAAATGCAATTGCTTGAACCAAAACTTAAATAATTATTTGGAATTGTTTATTAATTAGAATGAACGGTCTAATTCTGCGTCCAAGATAGCAAGTCTTCCTCCCAGAGAAGGTACTCGTTAACGAGCTTCTTTGTCTTTTCGTCCTTGGGGTCAAGCTTCTTCCACTCGTATGATTCGTAATCAATCTGAA